TGTAGATAGGAAGCTGATCAATATATGTAGATAGGAAGCTGATCAATATATGTAGATAGTAAACAGATCAATATATGTAGATAGGAAGCTGATCAACATATGTAGATAGGAATCTGATCAATATATGTAGATAGGTAGCAGATCAATATATGTAGATAGGAATCTGATCAATATATGTAGATAGTAAACAGATCAATATATGTAGATAGTAAACAGATCAATATATGTAGATAGGTAGCTGATCAATATATGTAGATAGTAAACAGATCAATATATGTAGATAGTAAACAGATCAATATATGTAGATAGTAAACAGATCAATATATGTAGATAGGAATCTGATCAATATATGTAGATAGTAAACTGATCAATATATGTAGATAGTAAACAGATCAATATATGTAGATAGTAAACTGATCAATATATGTAGATATGAAGCTGATCAATATATGTAGATAGTAAACAGATCAATATATGTAGATAGTAAACAGATCAATATATGTCGATAGCAAACAGATCAATATATGTAGATAGTAAACAGATCAATATATGTCGATAGTAAACAGATCAATATATGTAGATAGTAAACTGATCAATATATGTAGATATGAAGCTGATCAATATATGTAGATAGTAAACAGATCAATATATGTAGATAGTAAACAGATCAATATATGTAGATAGGTAGCTGATCAATATATGTAGATAGTAAGATCAATATATGTAGATAGGAAACTGATCAATATATGTAGATAGTAAACAGATCAATATATGTAGATAGGTAGCTGATCAATATATGTAGATAGTAAACAGATCAATATATGTAGATAGGAATCTGATCAATATATATATGATCAATATATGTAGATAGTAAACAGATCAATATATGTAGATAGGAATCTGATCAATATATATGTAGATCAATATATGTAGATAGTAAACAGATCAATATATGTAGATAGGAAGCTGATCAACATATGTAGATAGGTAGCAGATCAATATATGTAGATAGGAATCTGATCAATATATGTAGATAGTAAACAGATCAATATATGTAGATATAAACAGATCAATATATAGATAGTAAACAGATCAATATATGTAGATAGGAAGCTGATCAATATATGTAGATAGGAAGCTGATCAATATATGTAGATAGTAAACAGATCAATATATGTCGATAGCAAACAGATCAATATATGTAGATAGTAAACAGATCAATATATGTAGATAGTAAACAGATCAATATATGTAGATAGTAAACAGATCAATATATGTAGATAGGAATCTGATCAATATATGTAGATAGGTAGCAGATATGTAGATAGGTAGCAGATCAATATATGTAGATAGGAAGCTGATCAACATATGTAGATAGGTAGCAGATCAATATATGTAGATAGGAATCTGATCAATATATATAGATAGTAAACAGATCAATATATGTAGATAGTAAACAGATCAATATATGTAGATAGTAAACAGATCAATATATGTAGATAGTAAACAGATCAATATATGTATATGATCAATATATGTCGATAGTAAACAGATCAATATATGTAGATAGTAAACTGATCAATATATGTAGATATGAAGCTGATCAATATATGTAGATAGTAAACAGATCAATATATGTAGATAGAAAGCTGCTCAAATCTGTAAGTAGGAAGATGATGAACACCTGTAGAGAACAAATGAAGCAATTACGACAGTTCTAACAATTAACATACATATCGATGCAATCAGTTCCTTTATCAAGACAGAATGTATTACAAAATTTACATCACAGATATAAAACAGATTGCCTCCAAAATGACTGTAGTTATTACTTTATTGATCGTGTATATATTTTTTACGTATATATTGCAGTGGCAGTAGTATGTCATAAGGTGTTCACTTATTTCCGGACTAGTGAAATCTGATAGCCGGCATTATTAGACACTCTTAGATCACTAACAACTTAGCTGTATTAAAGGTACAATGTATATTCGAGGCGAAGGTATATTGACAATGAAACAGAAACATAAGCCAGCAAGATTTACGAGACTTGAGCAATCTTTAGAGATTAAATGAGATTTCTTTATTGTCCACACCGCTTGATCTATTCGCGAGGCCTTTCACACTGTATTTGATTACAGGCAAGCCAATAATCATAATGTATCATTGATTGGTCCATCAACAGAAATGATCGCCTCGTTATTTCGAATGGAGCTGTGTACACATTGACAACCATCGTGTATTCAGTTAATTGACTAATGTTCGTGTTTTTTTCCCGCCTAATTCACAGAATCCCATGTCCATGACCTGTCAATGTTAACACAAGTAGATTTATAGAGCTTTCTCATTCCATGAAATATTTTTATTTTGAAAATTCTTGAATATGCAGTTTCAATCAAATGAATGAGCGTTTGCTATCACCTGACGGAATATCATTTGATATTCAAATGAGAATATGTCAACAATTGGAGAAATCATAAGTTTTGACCGAGACTTTGACAAAGATTGTACAAAAGACACACAAATGAATAGCACCTATCAGTATAGATTTAGAGCTAGATACAGCCAAAACAGCGAATGAAACATTAAACAGACCATTTCTAGTTTCTCTTCTTCTGATTAACGGTATAAAAGCCGGCAAACTTAAATGAACAACATCACAAAATCATATCATTCTTAGTGTACACCTACCGGTCATACGGAACTTATTTCTCAACACATACCTCAGAGAGCATCAATAAGTCCATAAGAAATTAATTCTAGTCACCAACTTCAAGGATCTTAAATTATTTTATGGGGGACTTTGCAGCTTAAACTTCATCGATGGTAGATAATCTTGGGTGCCAGGAGCGAGCTGAATGTTAACGCTAACAAAAATATTCAGAATTTCGACAAGAATTATTTTATGAGTAATATAATCTACACTGATAAAATATTTACCGACACCCAGTCATACATACATATTCTGACTCACGACCTCAGACTTCAGAACTCTTGGGAAAATGTAAGGTTAATAAGCTCATAATAGACTTTTCAAAATAGACTTATCAGAACTTGGGCAATTTATAGCACGTTTTCATTCGTTGGCGCAACATAGTAATTTATGGTGATAGGTAGCACAGTCGTAGTAAGAATATGATGGTAATCGAGAACTGACGAGGGTAATCTTGATAAAACATGATGACTAAACCACAGGAACGTCGTGCACTTGTACCGTGAGTGTAACAGAGCTTGACATGACGTCAATTACACCGTAGCGTAGTCTTGGAGAAACGTAATTATGTCGTTGTTGGAGATTTCAACAACACTGATTCCCCAATAATCTCGTAGATGGACGTAGAACAATCCCGACAGCAAGAAAATATTCTTTAAGTTTTTGTTATAGATTGCCTAGTCAAGGTTTTCGTTCTCGTTCACCAAATATCTAAAATGGTTTCTGATCTGATGGCTACGTCAAGATAGATAGGCAGTTCAACATGTGAAAAAGACTTCATATTAGTTTATATTCAGTGATTACAAAATGAGAAAATGCCACACCAACGAAAATATATGTGATGTTCAATTTTCAGTCGAATGCGTCATTTCGTGAAAGTGAGATCTCTTTATGGTTGAATTTATATAACATAAGACAACCAAACAAGGAGAACGGATGTCGTGTGAACCATATTCTCAGCTAATTTTATACTTTAACGTTTAAACTAAAATATGCCATAAACTCATTGCCGCTATCTTTTCGATAATTCTCTCCAAATAAACGCCAGTGACAGGTAATGCATCTTACATAAGGTATTTAACTTGCCAAAATGAACAAAAAATATATATATCTAGCACGTGGAGTGGAGGGGGAGGAGGAGAGTTCTTGACGCGCTCATAGATCCCAACCAACACACGGAGGAATATTAAGGTAAAACATTGAAAATCTGTATCATTTTAGGTAGCTTCACGTTAAAAATCATTAGTGACGCAATAATCTACGTATAATTTCTCCTTGACTTTTCTCATCCTGATAGTGTTTGAACGGCGTTTAAATTCTTAACAATATGAAAGAGAGGTAAAAGGGTTAATCGCTAAACTGGAAATGAAATCTGAGAAATCTGCACCAAGCAAAGACGAAATAGTTGGAGTGTCAAACAAAGATAGGCCTAGAAAAATTATACGATTGGGAAAGAGACCAGAGTCCAGTGACATAACCAATAACAGCCGGCCTATTCTAGTTCGTTTTGAGTCGCAACAACCAAAGAAAGGAATCTTTAAAAATATCAGAAAAATAAGAAATCATAGCCAACTTTCCTCAGTAGTAATAAGAAACGACTTATCACATTGTGAAAGAGAAGCAGAGAAGGCATTATAAAAGGAAGCGAAGCAGAAAGAAAACAATGAAACGGTGCATTCTGTATACCGTGTCCGTGGACCACATTGGAGTAGAAAAATTGTGCGCCTTCCCAGAACAAATATATAAAGAGGAAACTTTTAATGTCATTTCAACTTGAAAAAAAGTGAAATGTTTTTGCTATTTAGCATTTAATTGGCTATACATATGTAATAACTGAGAATCTTAGACCTTTTTATAGGAAACATCTCCTGAGCTTCATATAGTTTTAGATATGGATGTAGAGGCATTTTTTTGCCTGTGTCCTTTACTTACTTGTTACTTGTTATTCATTATTACTTATATAAGGAAATGTACATGTCAGTATTATGTTTTCAAATTCCTATTCGTATGCCTGATGTTTTGCTGATTGATGATACCATTATTTAATTTGAAGTATTGCAGCATATCCACGAATTTCAGTGTATTAAATAACAGTTAGATCAATGTTATAGCAATTGAGAATTCACTATAGGTACATTTTTAAGGAAGGCCTAACACTCAACACAAGAGAGACGAGCACATAGAGTAAGGGAGGTAAATCTGACTTAAGTTATTGGTGTACTGAACCGAACGCACCCTAGGAAGCAATGAGCAGAAACGATTCACGCCATATCGAGTTGCCGTTTATAACTGAAAACGACCAATAACTAAGGTTACATACCTGTTTACATGTTGCTAAATTTAGGCTTCCGTGTTACAAAGTTATGAGAATGAACTACCCATCCTTCGACAGAACACGTACATGTGAGTAAATTCTTCAGTTTTGTTATTTTCCTCCCAAAGTCCAAATATCTAGACCAGTTTGACGACATACAAATTGAACCTGAACATCAGGAATCGGACTTGTAGATCATAGAGCAGAAATCATACATATGAAATCACTTTAAAATACACACTACTATATACCATGTATAAAACTATATTTCAAATATAGAACGCCCTTTTCCTGTGTCTGAGCTAGCTTTTCGATCAGATCTGCCGTCCGGTTAAAATATCGGTAATTAACAGATTAATGACACTTTACAATGTGGAAAACTAGAATGAATCGAGGAAGAATTGAAAATGCACGAAAATGCATGATACCACACGATACCAGTACAGAAAATCATATCATCCGAATTCAATTATCGAGATATTTCATGCATCAAAGATAGATACATTTATCTGAACCGCCCTCCTCCCTCAAGATAAAAAAGGAAGAAAGGGTGGAGAGAAAATCTAATTATTTCTGCAACAGGAAAAGATATCTAAAAAGGAGGAAGCAGACCTGGTAACAATTATGTTGAAACCAGAGCATTGAAATTTAATTGTTTTAAAATATATATATAAATATATAGATAGATATTTTTTAGTCGGGCAACAGGGATCAAAATAATGTGGAGATTTCTAATTTTATTATTTGTGATTTTATTATTGCCTTGCTCATGGTCACTATTGACCATGAGTAAGGCAATAAAGCAATCATGGATAGACAATCAGAATCGTTTGCACAAGGATCAATATAACACGCCCAAATTCTTTAAGTCAAATTAGCTGTAACCATGTTGTTATGACATTATATGACTGCATTATCCTGTTTTCTTGTCTTCTGGAACAACAGAAACAGTCTATATACATTGTATATTAGTTAAAGAGCCGGAGAAATTTTAAGTTATATACATGTTTAAATTGTTGATTTAAATATATAAAACTTTAATATGCTATTTCAGTTTAGTGAGTTTGAGAAAAAATTCTCAGTCTAGAGAATTCACAGAAATCAACATTATGGTAACCAGGGGCATATGATGAAGGGATACACAATGTCTATATCTCTGTAAAGTTACAGCCAAGGAATTTGAAATATGTAGCCTTACTGTCGTTATAAACCAATTTTTACCAAAACTAAATCTAATGATTTTTAGATAATAACCCTCTCAAAGTTTAACACATACATAGTTGTCCTTCTCTGTTACAGAAATATGAAGTTCAAAACAGTAAGGGAGGGACAGCAAGCTGTTGTATTCAACTATCTAGGTGAAGGTCGTTTGATCATTGGACCAGAAAGGGTATGTACATGATAGGAGTTGCAAAGGACTGTTTCCATTTGTTGATTCATGTTTTCCAGAGTTGGGGAGAAAATAGAGTGTTAGTTAAAAAGCTTGCCAATACACGATGAAACAACATAGTGAAGCAATGAAAGAAAGTAAAAGAAAAACAATTGAACTTTTTTTTCAACTTCTACATACACATGTCTATTTTATTAAAAGAGTTTAAACAGCGTATTATAAACTACACTTAATAAAGCTGATAGAAATGAGTCCAACACAGGAGGACCTTGGTTTTTTCTGAATTTGATGACACATGTTGTTTAAATGTTGATGACTACTGTTTCTTAATTGGAAACATGTAAACATGTAAACAACACTGTCATACAATTTAGATAAAAGGAAGAATCTTCTGTGTTGGACTCACTCCTATCAGCTTTATTATGTGGATTAATCCAATGAGACCTTGTGTTATGCCTCCATAGCCTCCCTCCCCTCCAACCCCTACCTTCAGTAGTAGAGTTATTTGTCACTTTCTTTAATTCTGTGTTAATGGGAGATCATCAGTGTAAAACCCAATCAGTATTATTTTCCTGCTAAAACGACGATATAATTGAGATTGTTAAACAACATCTTCAAACACAAGCTTGACAATTGTCACCTTATAAATGTTTGACTGTTTACAGAGCTGTTCCAATGATGGGACAAAATTATCTCTGTTTCAAAAGATATACTAAATGTGATATCAACTACTCAACATCAAAGCCAAAGTTGAAAGAGAATGACACATTTTTTCATTTTTCAATGTCAAGTTCATTTTCTTAGAATTTTTTTTTTTGCTAAATTTCATTACAGGGATAATTTTGAAGAACATAATTCACAATAATCCATTTTCATAAGCTCACCTAGCCCGAAGGGCCATGTAAGCTATAGGGATGTTGTGGTATCGGATGTGTGTCAGTTTTTACTATATATTGCAACTATTCATGAACAGATTCCTATCAAATTTGGTCTGCACCAATTTCGTGTAAAAAGTAGGTGCTCAGCATCAGGCGTTAAACACATTCATAACTGATAAGTTGTCCTTGGGTTTGGTTCCACAACAGGAAAGATTATGTCTCTGAAGTCATTGAGATTCCCATCTCATAGCTTAGCAGCATTGCTGGACATCAAGAGAACAGTATTGATCTCTGTGTCCACCCGTAGGGAATATCAAGCTGTGTTTGAAGGATGAGGCTCATCAATGGAAATATTTTCCTTCTGAAGAAATGCAAAGTTTTGCAATATCGACTTGAATATCCAGGTGAACGATACAGGCCCTCTAGGCCTCTTGTCTTAAATCTGAAATGAAGGTCTACAGGTCTTGATATATTTTTTTTGTACTAAATTCATCAAATGATGTTGATCTAAAGAGCTAACGGAAAGTAGTCTCTAAATTTTGTCATATGATTCAAACTCTGTGTTATAGGCCTAGAAAGTCTCTCAAATTTATCTAACTTAATTACCAAATACAGGCACATATCTATCATTCTTTAGTGTAAGACTTAATGTTTGAGTGTCCTCTTCATTGCAAATTCAGAACAACAAACAACAAAGAAAGATGTGTTATATAAATGTACATTGTAAATACATAATTATGTTTGATGGTTACATTGTTTTGGCAGGTATTTCTGTACCGAGAAAGACTACAGTACCTAAAATCCTACACAGCCAATCAATATCAGTTCTTAGTGCTGAAGGATAAAGATGGTGTTGTCACACACAAACGAGGGTAGGTACCCATACAGAACGATATTGTTTGATGAACAAACAAAGGTAGATACTGAAGGATAAGGAGGTACTGTATTTCTTGTGTTATATTCAGTTGTGTAGTAGTAAAAGGCACTCATCTTTCAAGTAGGTGACCAGATTACCAAATCAGACCTGGAAAAGTATATCGTCTGTTTCAAGTCTGACATGGAAAGGTATTCTCTGTATCAAGTCTGACATGGAAAGGTATTCTCTGTATCAGGTCTGACATGGAAAGGTATTCTCTGTATCAAGTCTGACATGGAAACATATTCTCTGTATCAAGTCTTACATGGAAAGGTATTCTCTGTATCAGGTCTGACATGGAAAGGTATTCTCTGTAAGTTTGACATGGAAAGGTATTCTCTGTATCAGGTCTGACATGGAAAGGTATTCTCTGTATCAAGTCTGACATGGAAAGGTATTCTCTGTATCAAGTCTGACATGGAAACGTATTCTCTGTATCAAGTCGGACATGGAAAGGTATTCTCTGTAAGTTTGACATGGAAAGGTATTCTCTGTATCAAGTCTGACATGGAAAGGTATTCTCTGTATCAAGTCTGACATGGAAAGGTATTCTCTGTATCAAGTCTGACCTGGAAAGGTATTCTCTGTAAGTCTGGCATGGAAAGGTATTCTCTGTAAGTCTGACATGGAAAGGTATTCTCTGTAAGTTTGACATGGAAAGGTATTCTCTGTATCAAGTCTGACATGGAAAGGTATTCTCTGTAAGTCTGACATGGAAAGGTATTCTCTGTATCATGACTGACATGGAAAGGTATTCTCTGTATTAAGTCTGACATGGAAAGGTATTATCTGTATCATGACTGACATGGAAAGGTATTCTTTGTATCAAGTCTGACATGGAAAGGTATTATCTGTATCATGACTGACATGGAAAGGTATTCTTTGTATCAAGTCTGACATGGAAAGGTATAGTCTGACCTGGAAAGGTATTCTCTGTAAGTCTGACATGGAAAGGTATTCTCTGTATCAAGTCTGACATGGAAAGGTATTCAAGAGTGATGTAAGATGTATGCTTGTTTGAAATAAATGGTTTAAAATAAAAAAGATGATAGCTTGTTTCAGAAAACTGTTTTAAAATAAATGAAGTTTATAACTATATATATTGTAAATGTAAGTACACAATTATTGCAAAAATAAGCAAGACAAGTTGTGTTGGATGTACCTGTATTCATATTTTCAAAGCATTGCAGGATTTAGTAGCAGACTGGATGGATGGTTAAAAACAACTAGAATTACTTGTTTGAGACTTTATTTTAAACACCAAACCCAGTAACTTTTGAAAGTGGCTTTCATGGATTTTGAGGAAGCAGTGAAAGGATACTGCAAAACCCCACTGGTGTAACATCACAACAAAAACACTATTATATATGTGTAATTTGTTTTCAGTATATATGGACTGTGATATAAATATAGAGACCTCTATGACTAATTATATGATGCATTCTAACATGTTTCAGATCATGTGTTGTTTTCAGTAATATTTCTGACCTTCTGTTGTTTTTTTTAAATATTTTAGACAATGTGTTGTTTTCTGAAATATTTCAGACCATGTGCTGTTTTCCAAAATATTTCAGACCATGTGTGTTTTTCCAAAATATTTCAGACTGTGTGTGTTTTTCCAAAATATTTCAGACCATGTGAGGTTTTCCATAACACCATGATGTATGACAGTATTGAAATCAAAGATGCCACAAAAATAGATGCCAATCATCTCATTGTTGTTTACAAGCGTCTAAAGGACAATGATGTGCAGCGCAGAATTATCCAGGGCCCTACAGTGTTTGTTCCTGAGGCAGAAGAATGGTAACTTTTTTGTCTTTTGAAGTCCAGAATCTGTACTATATTTTTGGTATCATATTTAACATGGAAACATTTTAGTGAACATCGTACACTTTGAAAGCTATGAGTCAGGCAGTGACTGGAAAGAAGAAAGTGGCACACTAAATATGAAATGATATTTGAACCTATTTTTTTCCAGAACTTTAAGCTTCTATATATCTAAAGCCTTACCACTCTGAGGTATATCCTAATTGGAGTATCAATTGGGAACTGTTGCTTTACTGAATATTAACACCAAGAATCACGGGACACTCTAGACTTCCGTTAGTGATACGATTTACAACATTAGAACTTCAATTAGTCAATAACCTGTAAATCACTTCCTACACCCTGTTCTGTTTTCGGCAGTGTTTTTGTGCAAGATATTTACCACCAATGAGGTTATTCCCCTTTGTAGTATTTGTTCAGTTTTGTGGTAAAAATTTAAACATTTTGTGATTATGGAAGGCTTCATCAGTTCACTTGGCACGGATGTGATGCAACTGACAAGACAAGGATGATCCCAGGACACAATAAGTTTACACAGCTGGCAATAATCCCGGATCAGTTTTACTACAATGTAAGTAATAAAAAATAGGAAAAAATATCCACATCTGTAAACAAAACTTCCGTGTTTTTAATTTGTTTTCATGGCTCTACAAATTTATTTAAATAAAATACCTGGTAATTATCACTTTGGCTAGCTTGACATCACCAAAAAAATTCTGATGTGCCCAATACGTCAACTGTAGATTACTGACAAATATCAATTTGTATTCAACAAAAAACAATCCTATTGCATATCATGTTAAAATTTGATCACTGTAACATCATTTCCTGTATGCTGTTGATATAGCAGTAATTATGAATGAAAATTCATCTTTGTTTAAAATTGCTTCATTGTTTAAAATCGATTTTGAGCCTAAATTTGATTATGCCAAAATAAGTACATCTACAGTATGGAGACAGTAATTACTGACAGGTGAGCCGATCGATTCTGAATTCTTTTAATATTCAATTCAAATTAAACTTAAAATATAAAATTTTCTGCCAGCTTTCTTTAAATGCTAGTTCTATCACTGTTGCTATTCCCTTAATGTCTAGACAAACCATTACATTTACATCCTAATAGAGCTGATACAAAAGTCTAGAATTGATAATTTTCTAAGGTACGAGATGTAAGGACAGTGGATGATACCATGATCACAGTGAAACTCATGATTTTTTACAATCTGAACGAGATACTCAAAATGGTGAGTATGGCTTTTACTCTGACTGAATTGTGATTATCTTTCTGTCCCCATCCAAAATGCAGCTTATATTTTCTAACATAATGGCCATATGTTCTATTTATCCCGCAACATTGATTGAAAATCAGATCTTTTTGTTGTTCAATCTTTGTTTACTTGCGTTGACGTTACACAGAATTTTGCCTGATGATTTATGCCAAAATAATCGCCCAGCTGGGAAATATTGTTTCAAACTTCAACAAATATGACAGCGATTTCATGAAATTTGATGAATAATTCATTTTGATATACAAAATTGCTTATTTCATCAGTTATTCATATTGCTAAACTAAGTATTTAAGTAAGTTCAAAAAGTAATTCTGTCAAATTAATACACATGCTTTATAATACAGCTGTTTTTCTGTCACGGTCGTAGAAAGCATAAAAAGATATGTAACATGTGCATTACAACAATGGCTGCACCATATGTAGGATAACATCACTTCTCAACATAACATAGTGTGACCATACATTTTTGTGGTATTCAATTTTTGTGGTTTTCCAAAGATATACATTTTCATTGGCGCTTGATTTCGGGGCTAAATCTTATTTACGAAATAAGCTGGTATTATAATCCATTTCAGCTTATATCTGATTATCATTTCTTGAAGATATAACTTAATGGAATCCAAGAATTCAATGAAAATAAATCCCCACTAAAAATGATAATTTTACAGTATTAGGTATGACTCAAAGGCGATGATTAATGTTTCAATCAAAAACTAATTTCAATTCAAAATGTTTAATTCAAACTTACAGATGAAGATTTAATGCTCAAAATAGATTGACATTATGTGCCAAAATGGTTATCACTAAGGACAGAACATAAAAAATTATGTGGCATAGTATATTCTAGTCTGCACAAATGGCTGTTTTTTATTGTAAAAAAAAAACGACAAAAAACTTAGTCACCATGATATGTCAGACCTGTATTGTTAATATTTAAAGAAATCTTGATTGTTAAACATTTGAATTGGAAATTAAGAAAAACAATTGATGCAGAATTTGATAACAGACATGAATGTTTTGTCTTTTTTTCATTTGAATAGCTGGACACAACCCATGATCCAGTGGCTGACATGATTAAGTAAGTATTGATGCTCGAACTATATTGTTTTCTGATCTGATGATCTTTCAATGCAGTATTAATATTATGATCATGTTTGCTTGTGAAATTATCTTTACATTATTTAACATTCATGTAATATTACGATGTGCAGTTTAAATGTATGATATGCATTTAAAAAATTGGAGAAAAAAGGAAAAAAAATTATCTTGTTTAATTTTCTCATAAGATTGCCTTTGTTTAAATCTAAATTTCCTATAAATGATTTGTATAGCAAATCTGAATATGTCGTTATACTTGATAACATTTAGGTTTATAAATTCTGTTCTATGAATGACAGTTGAGATATACATTAATGTACTAGGTAATTAAATGATCTATACACAATAATCAAACAGGATCATCATACTAGTATGAAGTTTCAGAAAATACTGTCTGGATATGGTGGAGCGGATACTTTTAGAAAATACTGTCTGGATATGGTGGAGCGGATACTTTTAGAAAATACTGTCTGGATATGGTGGAGCGGATACTTTTAGAAAATACTGTCTGGATATGGTGGAGCGGATACTTTTAGAAAATACTGTCTGGATATGGCAGAGCGGATACTTTTAGAAAATACTGTCTGGATATGGTAGAGTGGATACTTTTAGAAAATACTGTCTGGATATGGTGGAGCGGATACTTTTAGAAAATACTGTCTGGATATGGTAGAGTGGATACTTTTAGAAAATACTGTCTGGATATGGTAGAGTGGATACTTTTAGAAAATACTGTCTGGATATGGTGGAGCAGATACTTTTAGAAAATACTGTCTGGATATGGCAGAGCGGATACTTTTAGAAAATACTGTCTGGATATGGTAGAGTGGTTAATTTTAGTATTTCTTACTTTCATCATTTTTTTTTCAGTGCTGTTTGTGCTGATATTATCACATTTGCAGGAAAGAACACGTAAGTTGAATTTCCTTATAAGGCAAAAGCAATTAACTTTTATTCTCTTTCCTTCATTCCTTTGTCTCTGTTTTGATAATTGAGATTTTTTTCTGATAATTAATGGTAAAATTTTGGATTAAAGTTCTATGATGGTCATTATAAATATTACAATGATATAATGTATTACATCTCTTCTAAACAATATCAACAATGATACAATGTAGGGGAAATAATTCATACATCTTTGACTTTTTTAACCGATGAAAAAAACTGCATTAATTGAAGTTTTCTTATTTCTCTTGTTTATTTCAATGGACAGATTTGAAGATTTCTTAAGAAATACTCACAAACTAAGCGAGCTATCCTCATTTCCTGAGCTCACACACAGGGCAGAACGGATAGGCTACCAAATACAAAAGGTTGTCTTTCGTGGTTACCATGCAAATGACCGTCTACAGGTACATTCATTTTGATCATCACTTTTATTCATATGGACCAGATTCTGATTTGCATAGAATTCTAATACTCTAATTTTGAATTTGGTAGAAAAAATATCTTATTGAATTTAGCGCACCATCATCAGATCGTCCGTGGTCTGTCCACTGAAGACTGAAGAAGGGAAAAAATCCAACTTTCAATTCGCAAGTGAAGATCAAACAATAGTGGGCTTAAAGATCTTTTTGAGATCCGTTGCTTGAATGATAAATTGATAAGTGAACACTTGTCCTTTTTCAGTTTTGATTTAACCAACATGTACCTGAAGCTCTTTAGAACTGGCAGTGAAATGCTCTTGTTTATTCCTGTTTGTTATTTACTTCATTCTTATAGTTATGTTAATATCCATTTGAAAATAGCAACATCAACAGAGTTGAAACCAATATAGTTCGGAAATTTTATTTTCAGTACAACTTGAATGTGAATTCATAACCTTGTTTATACTGTTATTATTTCAAGTTTGTACCATTGTATATGAAGTTGATAAATGTTTGTCTCAAACCCATCAGCGTTGGTTTTATTTATAGCATACTTTTTCATAAATAATTTCAACTGGTTAACTTTTTTATATAGTTTACTATGGACTTTTCCAGTAAAACATCTCTTCCAGTTCAGTACTCTAGATTTTAATAAAGGAGTACCACCTACAGAATTTAATTGATGATTTGCTTAGAAGTAATAGACAGGAAACTGAACCATGGACAGAAAGGATTTATTGGATCCTGGAGTCAAATAGGTTATCATCGGAAAAGCTGCATTGTCATTACTGACTCAATTCTGTTTCTGTTTACATCAGCTGATGCAAAGTTCTGCCATCGAGACCAGGACACAGTTGAGGTTGAATGCAGAAATTGAAGAAATGAAACAACACCTCCAGAATTTCAAATTATCTAAAGAAGAAGCTCGCACTAAGCTTAGTAAGTATTCAGTAAATCAGTATACATGATTTTCTTGTCATCAGTAATGTTAACACAAAAATCATTATATAGTAAAGTATACAGAAAACAAAACTTTTTGTTGAATCATCTCCGACCTTTATACTTGAAAGGCTCTATTTATAGCCTTACAGATACTGTAAAGTCATTAATTTATGTGGTTGTTTATTTTCGTTGATTTCAAGGGTACTCAATACATGAATTCAAATGCCCATGAACTGTTAAAATTAGTTTACGTAGATTGATTGATTTCAGGGAATCATGTGTCTACGAAAAACTGAGTTTTCTTTTTTAAATTGCAAAATTTGAGTCCCTAGAGAAGATGAACTTACAGAGCATGTGAAGATGTGTTCAATTACCTATTACACTTTATAGTGTGTGTGGCGAGCATTTGTATCATGTTCACTGAGATAGCAACCAATTAACACATGGAAACACCCAACCTACTGGCAGAGAGAGAGGATACCTAGGTCATATTTCAGTGACCAATGGTTTTGGAAATGCAGTAAATACAAAATTGTAGTTTCCTGACAGAATTTCAAAATGTGCTATTTTTTTGCACACAGTGGGATAATTCCTTTCTTTTGCATAGAAACGGGGTGCGAGAATTGTGGGTAATATTTTCTATTTGGAATGTTTCTGTCTTTGCCTTTGATTGGCGGTGGAAAACTTTGAAAAGATGGGCTGATATCATAATGTTCAGTGGTGTTAATGATCATGTTTACAAGTGATTAATTGAAAAGATAAGAAGAGAGTGAGGTCATGGTGTCATCATTAAGAGGGAAATGTTGCAGCCATGGAATCTATGATGCGGAAAGCATTTTCCCACATTGTTAGTGGTTTCCAAGTTCCCCGCAAGAATAGTGTCAGGGTAAGAGAGAGATACAGAGAGATAGAAAGACATGAAGAGAGAGAGAGAGAGAGAGAGAGAGAGAGAGATGGAGCAGAAATAAGGGATTGTTGGGTGTAGGAGAGGATGGAGGTGATAGGGCACCGGTTGTGAAAGTTTGGTGTACCCTATTTATATAGAAACAAGAAATTATACATAATTTGAATGGATTCTAAATTAAGTTTACTCTTATGGCAGAACAAGAAATGGAGAAAGCGGAACAGGATCATAAACAAATGATTGACAACATGAAACAAGTACATGAACTGGAGATAAAACAGCTGCAGCACGAACAGTCTCTAAAGGTTGCAGCTATGACCACATCCAGCAAGTTAGGTAGGTTATACGATTGATTTCTGTAAAAATTGTGAAAAACTTGAATATTTTCAGAGAATGAAATGGATAAAACATTACTTAAGATCTTTTTAGTAAAATATTTCAAAATTATGCAAGTTTTTCAATATTTTGTCACAAAAACTATCTAAAAAACTCCCTTTTATCAGAGTTTGCTCATTTTCAAGGTTAGGTCAAGACATTCTGTACAACGTATCACCAATAATTTATTTCTTTTTCTTTAGATGATCAGAAAGCTAAGAACAGCAAGGAAATTGAGCATCTATCAAAGTTAAGTGATTTAGGTGTAGATGTTACCTTGTACCTGACTCTACAACACAAACCACCAACTGACCAGGAAATTCGTGTATCTACACCAGTATTTACTCATACTGATTTATAATGGAAACAGAAAAACGCAGGCTAAGAGGAAATACGGGTGCTACCATGATAATAAAAAAATGTGGACTCAAAAACATGGGTTGTCATCATACTGTTTAAAAAATGAATGTGCTGACAAATTGAAGCCGACTTCACCATGCACACCTATTGCCGAAAAAATGAGTTGGCAATCAGACAAGACAAGAAATTTAGACTACCATCTCCGTAAAATATTCTACTCATGAAAATGTTTATCACAGTTTTCTGCTGAAATAGTTTTCTATATCAGAGAAACATGGAAACAATTTGACAATCTTACTTTGAAGTGCTCCTGTGGAGTGTGATGATAGTCCCAAGAATGTTCTGGGTGTATCTTATCTTGTAACAGCGTAAATATACAGTTAACATACAGATTAATCTTTCATTGACTTTTTTATGTATGTTTTTTCATCTTCCTAACTAAAGTTTGCAAGGCAATGAAGACATAACATCATCATGATATGATATGTACCTTGCTTCACCAAAAAGTTCTGAAATTACTTGTATACTTGCATTCTACACATGTTAAGTCATGACTTGATCTTCCAGTAAATGTCAGTAAGTTTGACAGTCTCCAGTAAGGTTTTGGTCCCACACTTGAGTCTTGAAAATGACATCTTCAATTCAAAAGAATCTTCATTAAAGATAGATATAAAATAAGTGAGAGTGAACTGGATTTCGACAATAATAAATGTATATATACCTGTATATATATGATCTTAGTGGGGATATTAAACATAGGTATCATCTATTTACGAGCCATGCTAACTTCAGAAAAATGAAACTAACAAAAGTCAACATTTGGTTTTCATGTTCATTAGGTTAAAATCAAGATACAGTTATAAATAAGAAATCATGGTAATACATTTGTGTAATGCCTGTACATACCAGTGGCATTTATAGGTACAAATTACTGTGATATAACCTAAATATCCATGCTTCTAACTGAAAGCTAGGTTAATATATCTCTTTCAAGTCAAATTATGGTATTTTGTATTGTAAAGTTATGTAATCATGGGTGAAATCTTAATTTTAGTTTTGTTTTTGTCAGTTTACTTTTATTGGCTTTTACCTTCAATCCTTCTCTAGTTTGGACCTTTAGTGTCACTGATGCGTCCTAGAAGCAGGGACAACTTGATGATGTAGTTTTTTTACGAGTATCTACTGTGCAATTCTTGGATAAGGAAATATTTTTAGTGAAAGACTACATTCCTTTAAGTAATATATTCAGTATTTACCCCTGTACATAAAACGTTTGTGTGTTTTAACATTGTATACAGTAAAGGTTTTTTGGATGGTTAAATTTTTTGCAATTAAAACAAGGATTCATTTCTCAATAAAATCATGACACAGAGTATAAGCTTCTTGACTTCATTCTGAAGATACATGCATTTTTGCGAATTTATTCAACATTTGGAGAAAAGCAAAAATAAAACTAATCAAAATAGCCTTTACACAATTTATTATGAAGCATAGATGTTGTACACAGAGGAGACTAAAGGACACAGTGGCCTTATTATCTTCTGTCAGTTCAATCTTCATTGTGATTTTCCTTCTTACAATTAGCCTTATTTGCCTGTTCATTAAAATAGGTTTTACTGGAATATTTACAAAATGACAGGGATACACCACTGTATAATGTAGAGCTAATGGGATTTGATTTCATATACATATATATACATTAATAGGTCGTTTCTGGGTTTTCACTATCCTTGAAGGTGACATTATAAAAAAATGTAACACTTTAATTGACTTAATAAAAATATCTTGTTTATTTGTTTATTTACGGTATTTTTTAAAAAGAAATATGGGCATGTTAATTTCTAATGTCTAATTCTTCTGTGTTACTTTTAATCTTTTCAATCGAGACTTAAAAATGAAAAAATAAAGAAATGCAGTTTATTAACAAGAAATGCTACCATTGTATGATGTTACAACACGAATGTGCGGGACGTTAAGGGTTGGATATATAATTTAATATATATGATATCCATTGTTATCATGACATCTTTATTATTTATTCTTATATTTCTAATAAAGTGTTTTATTATTACTATTCTTTTATCATTTATTTATTTAAGCGGAATACAGTATCATTTTAATTTTGCACTTAATCGTTTAAAATGCATATTCCATAATTTAATAGCATTGCTGGACATTAAGAGATTATCAACTGACTGTCTCTACTCCTAGGGAATATCAAGCTGTATCCGGGGTGAGGCTCATCAGGGGAAATGTTTTCCTTCTAGTGAGATGTAAAGTTTTGCATTATTGACTTAAATATCAAGGTGAGAAAGACCGGCCGTCTTGGCGTACTTTCAAGGTCAAAAGTGTCAAAGATATGAAAATCTGCATGTGTCAAATACATTTAAATGTGTAAAATACTTCTACTCAATAAACAAAAGGCACAGGATGCTGTTATTGAGTCCCTAGCATCCTGGGATGACATGCTACCTAGGTTGTTTATATTAATAACCTTGACCCACTTTCAAGAAAAAATGAGTTGAAATATTTTAACGACTTCCTTTCAATAACTTCAAGAGCCATACCCACTCCTCGACCGATATTATTTTATATAAAAAAGCATGATTTTCTATTTTTCTCGGGTAGCAAAAGTTCTGACTAACCTTGTAATACAGCAATTTAAAGTAAATCGCTACCAATCTAACGTAACAAATAGTTAAAAAAAATGGAAACGACTCGGTGCTAATTCATAATTATGCGGGAAGTCCTGTCCTCTGACGCATGCACAAAGAACTGTAAATAAATCTTCCGTCTTCCAACATGGCAGAAAGCGGTAAAATATCTTTACAAGTGATGTCACATGGACGTACTACTCACCTCTTCCTCCATTTTTGTTTTGGTTCTGACTAATGAAGACCAAAGGTGATATATACGAGATCTGTCCACCTGCACGACACTTAGAAGACAACGAATGTGATATTATATACTGAAATAACAATTACAAATATTTAATAAAACATAATAAGATATGTCAGTGTTCTGATAAAATGCATCTTTATACTTATTTCTCATTTGAAACTGGAAATAACACATACAATCATTATCCTAATTCATATATCGGATAGCATGCATTATTGGAAGATATGCAATGAATATTGAAAATACAAATTTAGTCTTTTGAATAATATTTTTTTATTTCATGGACCAATAACTTGATTGCGAATATCTGACCCGTGATACAACGAGACATTGTGTGTAAGATGTTATCTTACATTCACATCACTCAAACGTTTGAAAAGAAAATCGTCAAAAATTTGGCCTCTGAGGATTACTAGCGATACAATAGTGAGTATATTTAATCAAACCTATACGCAATGCTAAATTTGATTTATATTACAATTAGTACAAAACAACCACATATATATAGTAAACCTGGAAGGAAAAGATAGTTTCTGTAAGTAGATATGTATACTTTCTACTAAAACTAGGATGTTATGTTCAAAATACTCGAAGGATTTAAAATTGTATAGTTCGGTTATAGAGAGCGCAGACAGCGTTTTATGACATTGTGATAATTCAAAATCAACAATCTTAAGCAAGCCATGAGAACAATCGACCCGTTGGCTGGATTAAAAATTACTTTGTTTTTGTTTTTCCCCCTGTATATCACCAATATCAAGTGATCTTATATATCAAAGCAACATTTTGTTATTAAAATATTCAAATACAACATTAGATTCGTTATCGCTGACGACATGAGTGCGCCATTACTGCGGCAAACCCTCTGAAACCCACCAAATCGCTTGCAGGAAAAGCACAGCTCGTCTTCTCTTTCTTTTTAGGAGCTTAACGTCCTTGTTCCGGTTATAACCGAGCCTAGGGCACTAAAGCACGACTCGACGCACGTGTCTGACGTTTAAACTCCCTGACCCCAGTGACCAATTTGGGCCGAAACCGAAAGTAACCATAAGACTCAGCGACTGGCTTCAACGCTGAAGCCACGACCAATCACAGTGCGCGTCATGACTTAACCACGGTTCATCTCACAAGATGGCTGACATAACAACCCATAGCAGATAGCACGTCAAACCAGACACGATGTCACCCTGTAAACTATAGGCTGAACCTACCAGAGTACTACTAACATAGCGACTTGGGGTACGTACACATAGTAAGAGCCAAACCACTACAGGGTCATGAGTAATACAACATCCAACATACATTTTAACGAAATCACAGACTACGCAAGTCCGTTTATATCACTACATCAACATAGATGGCGAGCAGGATGTAGATCAGCCGCTATTCTGTGAATAATGAAAACATTCCCGCGTATTAATTATGGCGCCTGGTATCAGGTCTCTGATAAGACGGTAGGTAGATGAATTTTGCACACTACAATAGCAAACCTGTTAATACTATTGCTTATTTCTTAAAACCACACACTAAGCCGAAGTGAATACTGATAAAATTGGTGATCGTTTATCAAACCGTTTTGGAGATATTTCCAGGTGCATTCATTGTTTCTATATATCGCATGAATTTCGCCAGGGTTATGAGTCACCCTAGCAGCAAACACAACAGTGAGCGCTGTAACTAGATATGTGTATATATACACACAGTAGGGGATTGTGTGATCTTGTAAACACGATAGCTAAAGATAGGCACAGGGCAGTTGTTAAGATTTAGATGTTTTCGTCAAATATGATGTCGAAGTGAACATTATTGAAATCTGATGGTCGTATATTGATTGAGTTTGGAAATGTTGAGAAATGCATTCACTGTCTCTAACAGTTAGTCGGCGCTAGTCAGATGAAGTAATGATGGTTTAAAAATATGTTATTTTCCTCGTACTTAAACAATGCTCAGCATGTCAACATATCATCTAATGTGGTGTTTTTTTTCATTGTTCCATCAAACTCAATAAAGCTATTTGTGATTAAACTATTTATACCAGTAAAGCATGCCGTACATGTTTAAAGGAGTATGAACATGTAACTGGAGGGTAATACAACTTTATTCTATGATTAATTAATTAACCCCTTCATAAATCTTTACCAATCATGTACGAATAAAGTAATTGATCAATTCTGTTAAAACTGCAGTCATGGTTCATTATAAACTTTGCGTTCAGTTAACTTTATTCGACTGTAAAGGACGTTGGGGTCAATTTCAAAGGTAACACCATTAATAAGGGGTATGACCACCGTTTGCGAAGTAAACGGCATTGCAGCGTCGTCGCATGGAACTTGTAAACCGGCGGATAATTCGAGGAGAGATGTTCCATTCAGCGATCAAAGCTTGGGCCAGCTCCTGCAAGTTTGACGGCTGATTTAGACGTTCTCTCACGCGTCGCCCAAGAACGTCCCAGACATGCTCAATAGGTGACAAATCAGGTGATTTAGATGGCCAATCTAACACCTGTACGTTATTCTGCTGCAAGAAAGTCCTGTTGACGCGACTGGTGTGCGCTGGTGCGTTATCCTGTTGAAAAACCACTGGTCTTAAAATTTCGTCCCGATATCGAATGCCGGTTAAATTTGCCATTTAATACAACAAGCCTGGTACGAGTCCCCCCACAAATACCACCCCAAACCATTACACTTCCGCCACCAAAGCGGTCCTGTTTTGCGACGCAGCAGTTCGCAAAACACTCCCCTCGTCGCCTCCACACTCTGCGCCTTCCGTCACCGTGTTGCAGACAAAACCTGGACTCATCTGAAAACAGAACATTGTTCCGTTGTCGTAAGGCCCAACGAGGGTGAACACGGGTCCAGTTACGCCGATTATTACGGTGACGTCGCAACAAATTGGGTCCAGTGTAGGGACGCTGCGCTTTCAATTGGTAGGCCCTTAACCTGTTGCGGACTGTTTGGGGAGACAAACAATGTCCTTGTAGTATCTACTGCGGTTACGAATCGATTGCGCAAATGTATCAATCGTATATGACGGTCATCCCTGGCGGTCGTTTTACGGGGTCGGCCGCTTCGGGGACGATCGGATGTTGACCCAGTTTGGTTTAAACGATTTACCAACTGGTAAATTGTCTTAACACTGCAACCAAAATGCCGTGCAACTCGACTGCGAGACTCCCCAGCCTGGATCATGCCTACAGCCCTTTCTCTCTGTACTTGTGACAGCCGGGGCATATAGTTGATAGATAACAAGATTCGGTGATTTCTAAGTCCTAACGATCTAAGGAACAGTTGTCAGTTTGAATGTTTATGAAATTCAAGCGAAGATACAAGTTAGTCGCAGAAAACCTCGTGCAGCTCTTGCGCTAATACAGGCTTTCACGCTTGAATGATTTTGGTAACCCCCTTGGATTTTGTAATGTAAAACATTACCATTTTCTAATATTGCACAAACGTCATTTTGTTTTCATTCATTTACAGGTATTCGCCACGGAAACATGTTAACCTTTCTTTTTTTTGTTTAGTATATGTATCTTGGTCAATGATTTTTTAAAACATTACTCCAACGGAAAAAAGATATATCAAATACATAGTCACTAATGTGTTATGGTAGGCATTTTGTGGGACCTTTATTCCTTTTACCAAGAACTAGGAGAAAATATTTGTTGAACATTTTTAACTCTAATGTCCTCTTCCTTCGTAAACACGTTTGAAAAATCTCAGCAGGTTTGCTGAGAAAGATTCTAATCATTCACGTGGTTCGTTGCTATGACCTCCATGTTGCCAAGATTTCCGTGTCAACGTTATGATTGATGGCATTTTCTTTTTTGTCGCACATATGTTCTTCAGACTTTGCTTTGCAAGCGGTCTCTACTACATTTTCCATCAAATGTTTAATACAAAAAAATTGTTCAATGGAGGTAGCGGCTTTATGGTTAGACAGACCAGAACTATTATTCTAAAAAATGAATTGTAGCATTAAACACGAGGCATGCTTTGTTTTTGCTGTCCCTGCTCTCTTATGATGCGAGGAAGGGTCCCTCGTCTGAAATAGACGATAAAAATTTCAAAATTAGCGTAAACTACCATGTCTACTTCTATTATTTATCTATTTATTTATTTAGTGGACATAATGCCCAATACGCGAAAAAGGAAAAGAAGGCGGACGGAAGTGACAAGGGTCCAAGTGGCTGAAATTGGTGTCCAGACGGATGATGCAGGGGACAACAGTTTGACAAATACTCATCAAGGCGGAGACACATCAGAAACAACTAGCTTTGCCATGTCAGTGAATTCAGAGCAAAATCAGGGTGAGATTCCTCAACCAATCCTATCAATTTATAACTCTCATGGACAGTAAAAATGACACAGTATACAGAAGGAGCATAACAATGCTTATTATCAAACATTGTTTACAGAGGAGAACGATTCAAAGATAGGTTTAGGAAACATTTCTGCTATGATTATAATAAGGTCTTATATTACAGATATCATTGTGTATCTTGATGCATGTATGAAATATTATTTGAATCATCCCCTTAATACTTGTTCAGGAAAACCAAATCCGTTTCTTTTTTCACGTGTATCTTCCGAGGCTCTCTGATAAAGCACATTTATGGTAAAAAACAATGTCACAATATCCCAAGGAAATGCAAAGATATACCTCAAGGTAAATCTTTTATCGAAAATAAACGAGGTCGGAAAACGAGCAACTCTTGTTGTTTCTATAGGGTTAGGGATTTAGTGAATGTTCAAGGATCAATGGTCTAATAGTAGGGCAAGCCACTTCAGCTGGGAAAACCGACTGGACTTTCAGAGATAAAAAGTGCAAGACATTCATAGTGTTTTCCGACTTATATATACACACACATATAAATATGTATACTTACTTTTAAGGTTTGGGGGTGACGGTGGCAGGACAAGGTGTCGTTTGCTTCTTGCAAGATACCAAACTTTCAAATGTTACGTTATGGTTTGTATGTGTTTATATTCATCAATCATAAAAAAAGGACATGGACTAAGTCAATGTAGATGCCGGAGGATCGAGATCATCGATTGAAAGAGTTGAATACAAATATTTGTTAGCAAGAGTGTTTTGATTCAAGGAATTTCAACTCTAATTAATACGCCTTCCGCGATCAGTATGACCAGCGAATCATATCCTCACACTACATATAGCTGGAAATAATATATGTTAAGGTTGTGGGGCAATCGTGATTTCTCTCGAATATGTGGACTAACGTTTTGAACTAAAAACAAAAAAAAAACAAAAAAAACAAAAAAAAAAAAAAAAAAAAAAAAAAAAAAAAAAAAAATGAGTGTAAATTGTGACAGCCTATGTACATAGATTAGAATATAGTAGTCTATTTGTGTTGGCTGTATCTATCCAATATCATTGACCCCAAGTTACACTGTTATTGCAGGAATGCAACGACCTAACGTAGTTTTCTTTGTTGCCATGGATAAAAACAAAGGTCCTTTAGATGGGCAGGTGTTGCAGTACCAGCGCGTGCTCCTTAACCAAGGTTCAGGCTATAACCCCACTTCCGGGATGTTTACAGCGCCATCTGCCGGTGTTTATGTCTTTAACATTGCAGTAGCAGCACAAGGAGGTAAAACGGTAACTAATCCTTTTCATTTTTATTATGTCCCCCAAACGAAGTGTTTGCTCCGTTTCTTATTATTATCATTATTATCATGAATTAATTTTATAATAAACAGAAGAGCTAACATTAATTACACGATGAAAGTCCTGCACGAGTGAAGAGTTCATGTTCTATACTGGATCACTTGATATATTTTGCGGAAGTTTTCATTTTATATAAAGTTGCGAAACATGATTAAGAATCATTTGTTAAATCCTGCTGTTCTGATAGATTGTAATTGTTCTAAAAATTTTTGTACACTTTGAAATGAACAAGTTTCTTGCATGTGACGAGCTTTGGGGTTGCGATGAAACAATCGAGACGAAATAATTGTACAGCGAATATAAAAACAAGTCAAAACATTACAATTCAAAACACAACTGATAAAACTGCTCACCTCGGTTAAGATTAACCTGTATCCCGTGTCAAGTCCAATGAAACTCTCAATTCAGACAGATTTACCACAATAACAATTCCATTTAAAATAAAGATAATTTTGATGAAATGTTCACTTTTATTTAAATCTCACTATATTTTCCTCGGTTATATTAAACTATGGCAAAACGCTATTAGGTATCGCAGAAAGAAAACCTCCAAGAATGTTAAATCATCGTTATAAAATTAAATACTTTAAGGTCAGGAAGAAAATGTACTTCCGGATATACAGATGCTACCTTCACATAGAAACTGATGTTACATTTCAGGCCGCTGTCCAGTTATTCCAGACCGGTGAGGGCGAAGACCAGTGGGTTGTGACGGTATGGGCCGAGAGTCTTCCTAGTTGGGGCACATCATCAAATACTGTGTATATCTCTCTTGACCAGGGACAACAAGTCTATCTAATCGCAAGACCAAATCTTAACTCGTACTATTACGCTCACATGTACACTACGTTCAGTGGACATCTGGTCGCACCTGCCAAATAAATAACATTTACAAAGTATGGATTTACATCACGTTGAGCACAATTGCCTGATGCTGAAAAAATGGAAGCGAAATATTTAATGGTTACTATCAGTTTTAGCCTCGTGTTGTTCCTGGGCGTTATTCCGTCTTAATTTGGTTTCTATTGATAGAAGTACTTTATTAAAGTAAGTTATTAAATGTCAAGATCAGGAGCTAGATTAGATAAAGGTCGTACGCCAACACGTGCGCCAGAAGTTACCTCTATCTAATTCAGGCCGGAATTAAACTGTACATCCTTACAGACACACTCGTAAGGTCACATATATATAAAACTCGTTTGTTTTATGAACGAAACGAAGAATACATACAACAGTTCTCCGTAGTCTTCATACATCTTATATATAGATCTTGGTAAATCCCGATTGATTTAAATATGGAACTTAAAGTTAAATAGTGCAGTTATAAATATTCTAAGGTTTGATATATATGTATCAGATTATCTGAACGTGCAGTAAATGACTGGCAGAGCAATGTTGGCTTTAATGTTGAGTTTAAGGGAGTTACTATAAGTTTCTATTAGTCACTATAAGTTTCTGTTAGTTACTATTAGTTATTATAAGTTTCTATCAGTTACTATAAGTTACTATTAGTTATTATTAGTAACTATTAGTTACTATTAGTTACTGTTAGTTACTGTTAGTTACTACAAGTTACTATTAGTTACTATAAGTTTCTATTAGTTACTATAAGTTACTATTTGTTACTTTTAGTTACTATAAGTTTCTATTAGTTACTATAAGTTTCTATTAGTTACTATACATTTCTATTAGTTACTATAAGTTACTATTAGTTACTATTAGTTACTATTAGTTTCTATTAGTTACTATAAGTTAATTTTAGTTACTACAAGTTACTATTAGTTACTGTTAGTTGCTATTAGTTACTATAAGTTACTATAAGTTTCTATTAGTTACTATAAGTTACTATTAGTTACTATACATTTCTATTAGTTACTATAAGTTACTATTAGTTACTATTAGTTACTATTAGTTTCTATTAGTTACTATAAGTTAATTTTAGTTACTACAAGTTACTATTAGTTACTGTTAGTTGCTATTAGTTACTATAAGTTACTATAAGTTTCTATTAGTTACTATAAGTTACTATTAGTTACTATACATTTCTATTAGTTACTATAAGTTACTATTAGTTACTATTAGTTTCTATTAGTTACTATAAGTCAGTTTTAGTTACTACAAGTTACTATTAGTTACTATTAGTTGCTTTTAGTTACTATAAGTTACTGTTTGTTACTTTTAGTTACTATTAGTTACTATAAATTTCTATTAGTTACTATTAGTTACTATAAGTTACTATTAGTTGATATTAGTTACTATTAGTTACTATAAGTTACTATTAGTTGCTATTACAATTTGGACTCCCAAGTCAGAAAGATTCACCAAAAGAACAATTTCATTTAGAATAAAGATAATCTTAATAAAACATTATCCATACAATTGTAGATATAGAAACATTTTTATCTTATATGATAAATGATAACATTTTTGAAATTTTATAACAATTGCAAACAAGCATGCAGCTTATATCAATCGCTCTTGCTGGTCGGATTGAAACGCGCTAGCGTTGGCTGTCCGGGAATCGGGATTGTCAGTTCCTAGCTAGCTGTGTCTACTGTGTTTCACAAGACCCGGATCACACCAGTCGTTCTGACGTGGCTATGTTTATTTTGAATGGCATGCGATGGGCCACGTAGTAGCAACCACCTACGACGAGGCGACGCCATCTGTAAGTGTCACATGCTGTTCACAGAGCGATAGAACATTAAATAATCGTCTATCTGCATGTTATTCATATTACCTTATTATACGATTGGCTCGACCAGTCTACTTATACACCATGAATGTTTCGTTGGCGGTATTGAAATCATGGAAACAAAGTGGAAGTCATGTCACCTCTGAGATGATACTGTCCATGTTTACCTGTATAGCCATACAAAAGAACTCAATGATGTTTGCACTGAATTATTTTTTTCTCACAATGGAGCCCGTTAATCTTATCTTAATATTCCAAATTATATATATTCTTTGTTGCTACAATAACATCACGTTTCAACAAGGACTCTGCGAAAAAAACTATATATAGCAGCATAACAGACTATAACGTTTCATTGTAAAATAACGGAAGGACACATTTTGCAAAGGCATCTGTTGTCTCTGATAGGTACGGAAGCGTATTCCGGCCACGTTGTGTTTTATTTTAACGCTAAATTTCGAGTTAGTAATCCTATATTTCGAGTTAGTAATCCGATATTTTGAGTTAGTAATCCGAAATTTTGAGTTTGTTAGTCGAAATTTTTAGTTAATATACTAACTCAAAGTTTCGGATTACTAACTCGAAATTTCAAGTTGCTATCTTTAACTTTCGCGTTACTATCTCGAAATTTCGGGTAAATATCTCAAAATTTCGGATAACTAACTCGAAATTTCGAGATAAAATCAAACACAACGTGGTCGGAATACGCTTCCGTAGATAGGTACATCACCGAGCAACAGTAAGATTCGAACATGTTTGTTATACATGATTGCCCTCGTTCCTATGCCTTCTGTAATCCGTTATAATCAGGTGTAGGTCTGGATTCAGCATGATTATATTGTTTCATACAGGTTCTATAGGTCGTACTGTGACTTGTCAGTGATGCTCGGACAGGGGACAGACTATGTGTTATTATTTACGTTTTT